GCGTGAACAGAAGATGCTCAGCTCGAGTTGAAGTCCTCCTCACCCCCACCCCCTGTGTTCTCCCTCCTCCCTATTCGCTCCTCTCGTCCACACGCACAAAACGCTCTGTCATGGCGTCTTCCAACAATGTTACCCCCACTAACTGTAGTTGGTGGCCCATCTCGGCCATGGATGGAGACGGCAAGATCACAGACGGGGAGGAGAGCGAAGAACCGACGGCAGAGCCCAAACCCTTCAACAAAGACCGGCTCGTTTTGTACCACTGGACGCAGTCTTTCACGTCCCAAAAGGTAAAAAAAGAGCTTGAAAATGGAGGTGCCTCTTTGCATGACATGATGCTACATCGTGGAACTCCTTGTGTTTATTTGTTATTGCGCTCAAAGCATGTTTTTGTGCACGTCTATCCCTGCACGTCTATCCCTCCACAATATGATTATGATCATGCATGTGGGCAGATGCCTCACGTTTAGGAAGCGCTGCAGCATGGAGCTCCTCGACATAAAAACACGATTGCTGGTCAATATCGTGCCGTGTACCTCTGCATAAACCGCCCTTCATGTCATCAGCGTCAACAGTTTATTGACATGATAAACCTGATTTGTCTCCGCACTGGTGAATGTGGCCACAGCCTGTGTGACACATGACATATTGAATAATTGATTACAATAATGTGAAAAACAAACCAAAGGCCATCTCCCCCTGTAGAGCTTCCTTTGCAGTAAATTACCTTGACAGACAGTAACCTGTACTTTCTGTTAAATGTTGTCTTTTGACAGTCAGAACTCTGAAATATGCATGTTAGCAATCACCGCAGCATAAACATCTGTCATGAAGACAGACACCGTGTTTCTGGGGGAGCTTTTTGAAGTCTGAGCCCTGTAATACCACAGTGATAGCACAGGGCTTGTCCATTTTGGGATTTAGACTTCTAATCCCCAGAAGTGTGTGGACTCGGAAACACAGTATTTCTCCATGCAGGGGTGGTCTAATCAGAGCAGAGTTATGAAGCGGGTGGAGGTGTTTTGGGTGCAAAAGTGGAAAAGTCCTGTTACCATAGAAAATGTGAACACATCTGTGGCTTGGATGGAGCATAATACTCTCCTTGTTGAGTCATTAGTAGAAAAGATGAACAACTGCATTAGAAAATGTGTTTTTAATAAAAAGTACAAGCCTGTCTACATTAAAACTATAGGAAAGAAATTAACAATGAGAAACAGTGCTTATTTACAGTAATAATACAAAAAACAAAACGGGAAAAAACCCACAACCACAGCTGCTCACACTTGAAACTAACAGTTTTATTTGAGCTTGACCTAAACACTAAGAGTCTGGATAGCTCTGATGCTGATGACTTCCCCTTGGGTTTTAGAAAACGGTGCTGGGTCTTCTTTACTTTTTTCTGCTGTTTGACAGAATCAAATTATGATTTGATTAACCAAACAAGTAATTGGCAGATTAATCAATAATTAAAACAGTCATTAGATGGAACCCTTTATGTGTTTTATCTTTATCTCAAATCAATCAATATGATTGGTTAGATGTTTTTCCATGACGGTGGACCAGTACATGGTCCCAGACGTCTGCAGCATGTGAACAGCCGTAGCAGCGTGTCTGTGAAGTGAAGGGTGGAGTGACCGTGTGTCCCTTTCCACTCCAGACTCACAACCTTGAGCTGATGATCGGTCTCAGAGTGATACGTCAGCTGTGAGGCACGTCTGTTGGCTTGCAGCCACCGAAGTCTGAGTGGTGATTGTGTGTGATTGTCAACACCAGGCTCACTGTCACCATGATCACCTCACTCCTGGAGCTGAAGTGACTTCACAATCAGGAGTGACAGTGCAGTCAGCGAAGAGCGTGTTGGGCCCAATACAGATGGATGTCATTAAAAATGATTGTACTCAATTTGCATAGCAGTCCTGATGATATTTATTTGTACAATGATATATGACAGTTCTTTTTATTGGAATGACTTTTATGAGATTAGGCCAAGCAGAACTTCATACAGCTTCATACAGCTTCATACAGCCATTTGCTCTGTGATGACACTGTCATCTTCAAATGGTCAGGGGATTATTTACAAGTCTGTCAAAACCTGTGCAGCTGAATTTCTTCTGCACCCCCCCCTTGTTAATAAGGTTTCATGACTGACTATAACTAACTGTGCTCCTGTGGCCTGAAGCGGGCCAGACAGTAAATTCATCCTGCTCACATGAGTGATGCTTTGTGAACACAGTGGATTCAGTAAAGATTGAGACAGCGGAGGCTCGATGCCATGGAGTAAGAGTACACTTAGAGGCCATCTTCACAGATCAATACAGGACTGGCAGCCTGAAGGCCTGCGGATTACAGATGTACACTCCAGTCCACCTTCTTTCCACCTTGTGCTGGTTTCTGTCTGTGTGGCAGGCAGAGTGTCATGATGCCAACATCTGGCCAACCAGAATAACCTTCATGTGATTTCCAGTGTAATAGTGCATAAACAGACAGTAGTGGAACAAGTATTCAGATATACAATGTAAAACTCTTTTACAAGTAAAAGGCCTGCATTCCTAACTTTACCTAAGTACAAAGGTGTTATCAGTGAAACATACAGTATTAAAAGTTAAAGCACTCATTCTGTAGAAAAATGGGTCATTTACTATCATATATTACTGTCAGTGCTGATGCACAGGTGCATAAACTACTGTAAACCAGTGTATTTTATAAACAGTTACAGTTACAGTCAGGTAGTTCTAACCAGAGGTTCCCAACCAAGGGCTCTACCCCCTCCAAAGGGCCAGTAGATAAATCTGCAGAGTCATGAGATGACCAATGTGGAAGAAAAGAAATAAAGTTCTGTCCTACAAATTTATGTTCACCTCATGGACCTCCCTCTCATCCTTGGGGGGTTTTGTGAGCTACTGGAGGCCCAGTGTAGACCTTGACCAGCTGGAAAAGCTTAGAGGGGAAAGGTCTGTTGTTGTTTTACTGCAAACAGCTCCGAGACACATTAAACATAATAACAAAAAGGTCAAAAACTGGAATCTATTCTTAAAGGTTGTTTTGCATACTCAGTCTTATTTTAATGACTTTGTCATTAATACATCAACAGGAGTTTATATTATTATTATATAATACTTTATGTTATTAAATTTTTGCGTATGATGTGGAGAAGTTAAATATATAAAATGCATTATATTTTATTTATTCATCATACTGTATGTTCTGCATGTAAAACCTGAATCTGAAAAGTATCACCGACTGTCAAATGCTGTAAATGCTACAGAGTAAAAAGTACATTAATTCTCTCTGAAGTGTAGTGGAGAAGATGTACAGTATAGTAGCACATAGTGGAGTAGTATTTAATGCATATAATGGAAATATGCAAAAGTATCTCAAAATTATACTTAGGTACTTAGTAACTGTGTGTACTGTATTCCTCTTCACCACTGACAGCAACAAACAGCAGTAACATGAAGTTCTAGTTTAAGGTACTGTATATTATGAAGGACAAGGAGTGTTTCTGCACCTCCCAGGCACCTGAACCACTTGGCATCATTACTAGAGTGACTAATAATATTATATAACAGTCTCTTGTTGCAACAATGACACTCTCTTATTGTGGGCATCACTGCAGCAGTGTAGACTTGGGACCGGAAGTATTTTATATCTACGCTTTATATAGAAATCCTTCATAAAATGAGGAAACAGTGCCATTGAGATGTGACATTTAAGAAGCTATTTCCTTTGACATTGCCACTCCATTTATAGCTTTGTTCCTTCTGTCTGGACCACAGCTCCTGCTGTAATTACTGTGTTTGTATTACTAAATCATTTAGTTTTATTTTGTCTGGCCACATTTAGCAAAACTCCCATTCTGCTGTTTCTCCTAATTGGTCAAAATGTAGCTCTGTGGACCCAAAGTGTCATCTCCTTTCATTAATCCATGCACTATGGCTTTTCCTTCATCCCACTGGCCATGAATCCTGACTGTCCTGCATGTTCCTTGGTCAGCCTTTACCTCGCTGTAAAATATCCCATTAGTTTGCCGGAACACACAAACACTTCAGCTCAACCTGTTCATTTTATGCAACACCAACATAAGAATGTCTGTGCCATAAACTAGGAGCCGAACCAGTTAGCCAGTGTGCTTTGCACTGGTTCTACTGTGATCACTCGTTTCAGCAACAGTTTGATTTGTTAGCTGTGTTTCATTTAAAATGGGTCATCGGCCTTCATCCTGCTTTTGCATTTAACTTTCTGGAGAATGTTTTTTACAGCCACAACACATCTTCCACTTTGCCTTGTGAATGCTATATCCACCTGTTTTATTTATTATCCTAAAAGTGGTGTGGTGTCTAGTGTGTATGCAAATCTTTCAGTTTACCTGGATTGATACCCAGGAACAAAAAGGCAGACCGAGTATCAGGAGGTAGTTGCGACATGCAGTGTCATCCACCTCCTCAGGAACTAAGCTAAACATGTGCTTATCATTGCAGGTACGTCTAGTCATCAACGAGAAGGGGCTGGTGTGTGATGAGAGGGATGTGAGCTTGCCGCTACAGGAGCACAAGGAGCCCTGGTTCATGAGGCTGAACCTGGGAGAGGAGGTCCCCGTCTTCCTCCACGGGGACACCATCATCAGTGACTACAACCAGATTATAGATTACCTGGAGAAAAACTTTGTGGGAGGTATGGTACAGTAACAATGTGGCTCCCGGCTGATGATGCTGTTTCTCTCTTTCTGCTTCACTTTTAACTTTGATTTTACCAGCATGACTAAAAGCATAGACACATCAGGTCACCACATGCTTGGACTCTAACTGGCGGCCGCTCCATCTGACAGCAGTTGCCCAATCATAGCTTAGCCACCTAAATTAAGCCCAGCAAGTCTTCCCTACGCGTTGAAGTGGTGGTGTGCACAGAGCTGTGGCAAGAGAGACACTCAGCATCTAAGAAGTTTGGGGGTGTGCTGTCTTAAGTCTTTCCAAACCTTAACACATAAGTGAAAAAGTGATTAAACAATGTTTGTCTGAGTAATTAGCTTACTGCCCATTGTAGTAGCAGTGTGACAGTGTTCCTTCCAAAGCCAAGAAGCATATTCTTCACAGGGTGAGTGCTAAGGAGCTAAGTATACAGTTTTTCTTATCATACTAGCATTAACACCACTACGAACTAGAACCACATTGTTATATACTCTAAGTATATGCCCTTTCATATTATCCATATCTTCAGCCGGTGAGGATGCTAGCTTCTTGGACTGCTTTAGCCTCACTGTTTTAGTACAATATCATGTATGTAGGCATCAGTGGAATATTTAAGACCTTTGACAGGATTTTCTTTTTAAAATGACTCAGCTGGAAACATTAAAAAGTCAGCCGGGGACAGTGTTTTCAACAACTCATGGATGCTAGCTTAATTCGCTAGCTACAGCGACAGTTGTCATTTCTGGCAGAAACATCAGTGGTCGTCAGCTACAGATGAGAAACTGCATTTGTCATCTTTGGTTTTAAAGACAGACTGCTTAAAAATTAATGAGAATTTTGATGGTAACTCTACCAATGCTGTCAAATTGCACTGCATGTCATGTGAGAAGGTTTGACAGGGGTAACAATGGTAACACAATTAAATGCAAGCTGCAGACTACAAATGTCATTAAATCACATTTCACTCTGAGACTTGGTATTGAACCAGCACCAGCGGCCACAGGTGTGCTGTGTTTAAAAATAGTTTTATGTTGGGATAATGCATATTTTAAGGTCTTTTATATTTTAGTTGTTTTAATGGAGCATCTTCCAGAATTTGGGAAACAATTTTACAGTTAATTTAATACAAACTAACTAATGCACATTGAACCAATGGTTTTCTGGGCTGGGGCCTTCTGGAATTTAGGGCCCTGGTGCAATTGCCTGGTTTGCCCAGTTGCTAAGAGTGACATAGCTACAGAAAATATAAGCCTACAGTGTGTAAACCTGGGGTAAGAAATACATTTGGAAGCTGTTCTAGGCCATCTGTCATCCTAGTGTGTGTCAGTGTGCACCGTACTGTGAAAGTCTGTAAATCAGTCCAACAACACTTTTGCCCCAATGCCACTGAGATGAACGCCTTTGATTAAATTAGACAAAAATGAAGTGATCCCTTGGGGGAAATTTGTTGAAGTGACAAATGAAACCCAGCTACAAACCTAGAGAGAACACAACGACTGAACAAGCAAGAGAATGAAGGAGTATATGTAAAATTAGTCAGGCTGTGCCTTCACTGTGAGTCTGTCACATGACTCAGATTCAGGCTTAACATCTTAGAAATAAATGCCATTGGTTGCCTTTGCAGCTCTAAGAGTAAGAAAACTTTAAGATGCATGCACTGAATCCAGTTGACTTTATGAGTTGTGTTATAATCTAGTGTGTGCTGTGTCCTATGGTATTGCCAGCTGAGACATGATGCTGTTATGTAATGCCCTGGCACCCCCAAACCAGTAAAGGTCTGAGGGAAGTTGGTCAGTAGGTCAGTTTGTCTTGCTTCAGTTAGTGCTCACTCTTTCAGAGCTCTGATGCTTGAAAGCTTGTAGAAGGTCAGGTTCACCTCTTCTTCAGTAATAAAAGGCTAGAAGGCAGAAATTGACCTTGGTGTCTCTTTCTCATTTGGCCCAATCCATTCGAGCTATTTGTTACTGCTCTCTACAGATTATTTAGGCATGTTAGTTGGAGTTTTACTAAAATCTGCAACTGTAGCATCCTTCTGTATTTTCCAGTGTTCAGAGTGTAATACAGTAGTGCAGTTAAGATGTTTCCTTGTTTTGTTTTAATAAAATTGGACATGCTTTTAGCCAGAAGTCAATCTGGAAGATAATTCTTACAGAGATGCTTTATCTCTGTGCGTAGCTGCAGCTGGCCTGGAAAGTGTCTCAGAAAAGAGACGCTGAGCAGAGTATAGCGCAGCACAGTGCCACTTGCTGAGATGAAGCAGAGCGCTCTAGCTTCTAACTGTGTGAAAACAGTTTGACCAATCAAACATCCGCTCTCTGCATTTTCTTATTCTGTCCCAAAAAACTGAATGTGTGCATCCCAGTCTCCAAGACAGTCAGAGATGAGGTAGTTTTTTTGTTTCTTTGCTTATATATTTTACCATAATGCTGCAATAGAGCATGTACAGCAGCACTGCATGACATGCCGGGCCTGGGACTGATTACCCAGCTTTCTGGAGCTCTGCCTGGTGCAGCTCCACCCTCCACAAGCTTCCTCTAGTGGTCATCTGACTGTCCCTGTTTTGTCAGCAATGCTGTCCCTGCGTTTGGATGGCCGGGATCCTGCACAAAGATAACAGCTCCCTCTGTTCTGCTGTCTTAATCTCAGTACTGAATCTCAGCAGTGGGTCATTCTGTCGAACACTATCCCTTCCAACCATGAGGCACGGAGCCAGCCACAAGAATTAGGCCAGCAAAATATTAAAGCTGGTTCCCTCAATAATAGAATTTTTTAAATGAATAGTCCAGCATTTTGAGAAATAATCTATTCAGAAACCAAAGAGCTAAAAGTGGTTTTATGGCAGGAGGTTATACCAATACCAGTCCCATTGTCTGTCCATTAAATATGTACCTCGTACCAACAGCGGGTTAGCTTAGCATAAAGTATGGAAACAGCTGAAAACGCCTGGCTCTGTGTAAAGGTAAGAGAATCCACCTACCGTCACCTCTAAAGCTCACAAACTAACACTTTATATCTTATTTGTTTAATCAACACAAAAATCAGTGTAAAAGCAAATATTTGCTGTGCTGGGTTGTGTGCCCAGTTGCTTATTGGCTCTGAACGATAGTGTGCAGGTAAAATCCAGGCTGGTGTTGCTGATACCATTACTGATACCAGTATTTTATGCAAAAAAGCAAAGGAAAGTGATGGGTCCAGACAACAGAGAGTGACAGAGAAGAGGAGATATAAGGCAAATCTATAAAGGCTAAGCTGCCACTTTTATTAACAACAAATGGGGCCACCCTGGTCACAGTGGAACCACAGCTTATACTGTGAAGGGATGTTTTGCAGCCCAGATGCTGAACTGTTGGCAGCGGGACTATGTCCATACTACACATTTACATACAGAGACCCTTTACATGCCATCTTGGTTGTTGTTCATGCCAGCAACTGCAGACGTCTGGTGATAACGTAGTTACTGTCTACTGTGTCCTCTGTTGATAAAATATACATTTACCTCAAATATGCCTACTTATTTTAGATATTGATCTTTTAACATGAAATTGATCCTAGAACAGGAAAGGCTGGGATTAGAAGCATTGATATTTCAGTCACACATGATTACAGCACAGTTACCAGGCCACCAGCAGAGGCTGAAGGTCCAGAGAGAGGCAGCACACAACCCCCATTAAACAGCAAATTGATGCTTTTCAAACAAAACATAATGTGTTAATTGGTGAGTTCTGGAGTTGTCGGTAGGTGCTATTTGATACTATTGGACTGAGGCCAGCTGTTGCTCCATGTTCCCCCTACTTATGTTAAGCTAAGCTTACTGGTTGCTATACATTAGGGACATGCCACCAAAGTTACTCATCAAGATTAATAGTGATGAGAAGTACTATTCAGCCTGTGAAAAACTGTATAACCGCGTTCTGGCTCTGAAAAAGCTTTGTCATGTCTAAGAATAATGTTTTACAAAGTGTGTGCTACAAACTAATTGTGAACTTTAAAATGAAAGTTTATCAAACAGGTCTTTGGCCTGTAATGTGTAATTACTAAGTTGCAAAATGTGAACTGTAGCAAGCAGCATCTTTGGAGCTTGACTCATAAAAGGTGGAATTTGTCAGTGTACGTAGTAAAACACTGGAGCACCCCTTTATGAGACAGACACTGTGCGAGTGGCACCTTCTGTCTAGCTCTTGGCAGTGAAGGGCAGAAGCATATTTCTTAATCTATTGCTTGAGCTTGAACAGCTGTAGATAAATGGAACAGAGCAGGCCACTGGGGGATCGGCACAGTGAGTTTACAGTGTTACCTAATTCGCCTGTGTGTTTTATGAAATCGTGTGCTTATGTTACTGTTCATTGTTTTCTTTCTCTCATTCTGGATCATCCTTGAATTTCATCTCATTGGGTTAAACTGTGTTTTTAGTTTAAACCGATTCACTTTTCCACTCAACCTAAATTCTCTGACGTGTGTTAGTCTTCACATCTCTACAATGTTGTTTAAATCTCGGGCTTTGTGAAATGTGCCCAGTGGTGTGTTACAGAGAGTGATGAGGTGTCATCTGCTAGCAAGTTACCATGCTGTGTGTCTCTCTGACAGCTGAGGCTGGGCAGCTTGTGTTAATTCATGGTTGTGTAACACTAAGCATGATGATGGTTGCTTAGAAACCTCAGTTTAAGAAAATAGATAAAGAATACTAACTATTTTGTTTACACAGTTTGTTGAATGTGTATTGCTGCTTTTCTGTCGCTGTGCCTGCCTCACAGAGCCAGGACAGGGCTTTAAGCTACATTAAAATGCCTTCTCTTTGTGTTGGTGTTATCCTGTCGGCGTCTCACCCTCAGACACAGTGGCTCAGCTGATTCCTGATGCAGACTCACCGCTCCACGATCGTGTGCAGCAGTACCGTCAGCTGCTGGATGGTCTGCCCATGGACGCTTACACACACGGCTGCATCCTCCACCCAGAGCTCACCACTGACTCTATGATCCCAAAGTACGCCACCGCAGAAATACGTAGTAAGTGAAGCCAGCTCACTGTACTGTGTAGGATTGTTTATATAGTAACTCTGGATTAATTACAAGACAAACAGAGTAGATGTTACTATATGCACTCAGCTGCCAGTTTATTAGGTACACCGACAGCAACTAAAACTACTGCAGCAGTCCTACAGTAGATCCTGTGGTATGTTCACTTTTTGTTCAAACTGTTTGTGAGAGGTGTTGATTGAACTGTACGGTCAGATGTAGTTTGTCTCTGTCAAGGTGGAGCTAGTTTTAACTGTTTTACATACAGTACACTTAGTCTGTTAGGCTCCCAGCCTAAGGCTCTGCTTCACTTTTCTCTAATCGCTGTTTTGGGTCATTCAACAGTTTTACAGTAAATGGACATATGTGAGAAGTTTAGCAGGGAAATGTCTCTTTGGTAGAACTGCTATAAACATATTGGCATTTGAAAACAGACACTGTTTTAAGTATGTAAAACATATTATGTAAATATAGAG